ATTATGACACTCAAAGCACAGACAAAAAAAGAAAAAATAGACAAACTACATCAAACTTTTGTATCTCAAAGTACACAATCAAGACAGTGAAAAGATAATGCACAGAATGTGAAAAAAATACTTGCTAATCATGTATCTGATGAGAGATTAATAATCAGAATACATAAAGAACTTCTACAACTTAACAAAAAAACAACTACAAAGTCAAAAACTGAGTAAAGGACTAAATACAGGCATACCACACTTCCAGACCACCACAATAAAGCAAATATTGCAATAAAGCAAGTTATATTAAGTTTTTGGTTTCCCACTGCATATAAAAGTTACTTTTACACTATGCTGTATTATACTATGTAATAGCATTATGTCTAAGAAAACAATGTACATAAATTAGAAATATTTTATTGCTAAAAAATGCTAATCTGATCCTTTAGCAAGTCATAATCTTTTTGCAACAGTAACGTCAAAGATCACTGATCACAGATCACCATAATAAACATAATGAAAAAGTTTGTAATGTTATGAGAATTACTAAAATGTAACACAGAAACACGAAGTGAGAAAATGCTGTTGAAAAAATGGCGTTGATAGACTTGCTCAACGCAGGGTACCCACAGACCTTCAACGTGTAGAAACTGTAGTATCTGTGAAGTGCAATAAAGTGCAATAAAATGATGTATGCCTGTAGACATTTCACCAAAGAAGGTATACAAGTGGCCAAGAAGCGTGAAAAGATGCTCAACATCACTCATCATTAGGGAAATACAAATTGGAATCACAATGAAAAAAAAATCACACTTTATAGCCATTAGGATGGTTATTATCAAAAAAATAAAGTTTTGGTGAGGATGGGGACCAACCCTGCTGCATTGCTGGAGGGAATGTAAAATGGCACAGCTGTGAAAACGGTTGGTGATCCTTAAAAATTTAAATATAGAATATCCATATGATCTAGCAATTCTACTTCTAGGCATAGTATATACAGCAAAGAACCGAAAGCAGAGACTCAAAGAGATAACTGTATACTAATGTTCATAGCAGCTTTATTCATAATAGCCTAAAAGTAGAAACAACTCAATTGTTCATCAACAGATGAAAGGATAAACAAAAATGTGGTATTATACGCATATGGAATATTATTCAGCCTTGAAAAGGACTGAAATTATTAGAAACGTTATGCTAAGTAAAATAAGTCAGATACAAAAGGACAAATATTCCATTTATATGAGGTACCCAGAATAGGGAAATTCATGGAGATAGAAAGCAGACTAGAGGTTACCTGGGGGTGGGGGAATAGGGGCATGGGAATTATTATTTAATGGGTATGGAATTTCAATTTGGGATGTTACATAAGTTCCAGAGATGGATAGTAGTGATGGTTGTATGATGTTGTGAATGTACTTAGTGCCACTGAATTGTACACTTAAAAATGGCTGAGAGTGCATTTTATCATAATTTTAAAAAATATACAACATTCTGGAAGGGTATTTGGCAAACTATGAAAGATTTACATCCTTTTACATCAGTAATCCCACTTCTAGGAATCTATCCAGAGGATATACCTCCAAGAATATGAAAATACATATGCATAACATTATTCATTGTAACAGTATGCTTGTAATTGCAAAATACTGTAAATAACCCATATGCCCATAAACTGAAAGACTGAATAAAGTATGTACATACAATGTACTACAGGGTTGGCCAAAAGGTTCATTTTTTTCTGTAAGATGGCTCTAGTAGCACTTAGTTGTCTTTAACTTCATTTGAAACAATTTTGTTAGATTGTGACAGCTGTCATATCAGTGTGCATTTAAAAAATGACTTAACAAAATTGGTGAATTTTTGTGTAGCCATTTTAATATTGAAGATGAAAGAAAAAAAGCAACATTTTTGGCATATTATGCTTTATTATTTCAAGAAATGTAAAAACGCAACTGAAACGCAAAAAAAGATTTGTGCCAGTGTATGGAGAAGGTGCTGTGACTGATCAAACACGTCAAAAGCGGTTTGTGAAGTTTTGTGCTGGAGATTTCTCACTGGACGATGCTCCACAGTCGGTAGACCAGTTGTAGTGATCAAATTGAGAGATTAATTGAGAACAATCAATGTTATACAACGTGGGAGATAGCCAACATATTCAAAATATCTAAATCAAGCACTGAAAATCATTTGCACCAGCCTGGTTATATTAATTTCTCTGACATTTGGGTTCTACATAAGCTAAGCGAAAAAACCCTTCTTGACTGTATTTCCACATGTGATTCTGTACTTGAATGTAATGAAAACGTTCCGTTTTTAAAACAAATTGTGATGGGCGATGAAAAGTGGATACTGTACAATAATGTGGAACAGAAGAGATCGTGGGGCAAGAGAAATGAACCACTACCAACCACAGCAAAGGCTGGTCTTCATCCAAAGAGGGTGATGTTGAGTATATGGTAGGATTGGAAGGGAGTCCTCTATTATGAACTTCTTCCAGAAAACCAAACGATTAATTCCAACAAGTACTGCTCCCAATTAGAGCAAATGAAAGCAGCACTCGACGAAAAAGCATCCAGAATTAGTCAACAGAAAATGCATAATCTTCCATCATGATAATGCAAGGCCGCGTGTTTCTTTGATGACCAGGCAAAAACTGTTACAGCCTAGCTAGGAAGTTCTGATTCATCCACCGCATTCATCAGACATTGCACCTTCGGATTTCCATTTATTTAGGTCTTTACAAAATTCTCTTAATAGAAAAACTTTCAATTCCCTGGAAGACTGTAAAAGGCAGCAGGTACAGTTCTTTGCTCAAAAAGATAAAAATTTTGGGAAGATAGAATTATGAAGTTGCCTGAAAAATGGCAGAAGGTAGTGGAACAAAAGGATGAATATGTTGTTCAATAAAGTTCTTGGTGAAAATGAAAAATATGTCTTTTATTTTTACTTAAAAACCAAAGGCACTTTTTGGCCAACCCAATAACTATGGAGTTGTAAATAATAAAGATGATCTCTATGAACTGATATGGAGTGATTTCCAGGATATACTGTTAAGTGAAAGAAGCAAAGTGCAAAGAGTATAATATGCTTGTTATGTAAGAAAAAAGAAGCTATGAGAAAATACACATGTATCAGCTCTTTTGTGTAAAAAGAAATGCATGATGGATACACCAGGGACTAATTGATTAGTTACCAGCAGAGAGTTGGTAGGAATGGAGTGCAAAGAATTGGGGGTGGGACTGGCACAGGAGAGGTGAGAAAGGTACAATATTTGAGTGTATCTTTTTGTAGAGCTCTCTTTGAATAATGGCAATATTCCAGGTACTCTGAAAATAAAAACAATTTAAAGTAACCATGATGAGGGTGGGGGGGACACAAAATAAAATATAAACAGTCACAACAGTCACAAATGAACCTAAGTGTACTACAGATGAACCACACGCAAAGGAGAGAGGAAGACAACTAACCTAAGTAAATGGAACACCATATTTTGACAGCATGGCTCAAGATAAAAAGAACTGCACACAAATAGTGTACTCTGTTAGGAAATTTCTAACAGGGATATGGGTTAGCAATCCTAAAATTACTTTATGTGTATCCTAGGATTGAACAAATAAATATACCATGGATAATTAGAGCCAGATTTCTCACTAGAAGAGAAGGAAAGGGCTTTTTGGAAACATGGTTGGTTCTAAGGCTTGGGCAAGGAAAACAGAAGTTGAGCCTGGTTCAGCCTGCGGAACAGAAAGTAAGGAAGTGATTAAAAAAAATAATGGGCTTATTATCCAAAGCGTACAGGAGGCAACCTGAAGGAGCTCCCAATGGCCAAAGCCAGGACTCTGAGCAATAAAGTAACTTTTATTATAGAGTAACATATATATATATTATATATAAAATAATAGAGTAAAATGAGCTCATACTGACACAAATAACTGAATAAATCAATGAAGGAAAAAGAACAGCTCTTCTTCACAGAATTATAATTAAGTGTAGAAGGAATGATGGAAACAGAAAACCACCATTAGGTAAATACTGCAGCAATAACTATTACAGGCAGAAATCATTAACAGATGCTAAAATTAGTGAGCAAAAGGATATTTGCATACTCTCAAAGAAACTTATTAATTAGAAAGGAAAAATTATTGTTTATAGCGGAGAAATGTGGCAGACAGTACCTTAAGGAAGTGATCCAAGTTAGTGTAAGGCAAACCACATTATGTACCCTACCTCACTGGTATGATGTACTGAGAAAGGTGGAATGTGATTTCTATGGTATTCTTGACAGAAATGCATAACCTCAATTGAATCCATGAGAGAACATCAGACAAACCTAAATCAATGGGCATTCTAAGTAGCTGGTCAGTGCTCTTCAAATGCATCCAGGTCATTAAAGACTGACGAAGTGTCACAAATGGAAGAGACTAAAGGAGACATGACAATTAAAGGCAATGTGGGATCTTGGATCAGAAAAGGACATTAATGGGAAAACTACTGATTTCTCAGTAAGATCTCTATATTGGTTAATAATATTCCATCAGTGTTAATATTCAGTTTTCCAACGGTTTTGTAAGATGTTAACATTAAGGGAATCTGAGTGAAGGGCACAGGAGAACTCTACTATTTTTACAACTTTCTATAAGCTTAAAATTACTTTAAAAGTTTAAAAAAAAACCCAGTCAATCTAAATCTCTGGGGAACATGGTTTGGTGGATTCACATTATTCACCAAGCTGAATTCATACTACTGATAATTATTTTTAATTTTGAAAATCTTGAGAGGTCTCTACTTTTTGCACTATCATATGTTTATATCTTTATAATAGGTAGTGTTTCAACTTATGCATTACCATGTCTTTTTTCACGCCTGACAGTCAGTTCCTTAAGAATACATACTAAGACCTAGTTACTTCTACATTCTGTGACTAGCAGTCTTTGTCTAAAGGAAATGCTCTGTAATTGTATTCTGAATAAATGATTAAGTAAAAGATCTCAATGCTATAGGAATTATTTACTTACGCTCCACAAAGGAAGTAAAGAGCATTCTGAACCTGCTAAGCCGACTACCTTCATCAGCCCACATCCGTATCACCCCAACTCCTGTTTTAAGCATCACATCGTTGGCCACAGTGCTGCAAAACTTGGCCTTCAGATTTTCAATAGAACTGCTCCCATCGTAGACTGCAACGAAATTTCTCTTGCATTCATTTGAGTGCTCCATCTGATAATCTAGGAACCTCAAATAAATCTGTAACATGAAAACAAAGAAAAAGTGCTTTTAAAAAGATACATTAAATTTTCTAGTTCTATTATCCAATCAATATGTAAGTTAAAACTGCATTGAGTTATAACACCTGACAGAAAAACAATAGCTAAAAGGATGATGCCTAAGTAGGTAAAAGAACTAAGACTAATGGTCTGTTTCTTTGGTTGTCTTAATAATGAAACCAAGCATTAAGGAACCTAGTTTGTGTTGTGTCTGTAAAGAGAAATTTTTTGCTCCATGACTATCTTACATGTTTTCCTTGTTATAAAAGCAAACTCGCATATACCCTGAGAAAACCATAATTCAAAAAGAGTCATATATCAAAATGTTCATTGCAGCCCTATTTACAATAGCCCGGAGATGGAAACAATCTAAGTGTCCATCATCGGATGAATGGATAAAGAAGATGTGGCACATATATACAATGGAATATTACTCAGCCATAAAAAGAAACGAAATTGAGCTATTTGTAATGAGGTGGATAGACCTTAAGTCTGTCATACAGAGTGAAGTAAGTCAGAAAGGGAAAGACAAATACCGTATGTTAACACATATATATGGAATTTAAGAAAAAAAAATGTCATGAAGAACCTAGGGGTAAGACAGGAATAAAGACACAGACCTACTAGAGAACGGACTTGAGGATATGGGGAGGGGGAAGGGTGAGCTGTGACAAAGCGACAGAGAGGCATGGACATATATACACTACCAAACGTAAGGTAGATAGCTAGTGGGAAGCAGCCGCATAGCACAGGGAGATCAGCTCGGTGCTTTGTGACCGCCTGGAGGGGTGGGATGGGGAGGGTGGGAGGGAGGGAGACGCAAGAGGGAAGAGATATGGGAACATGTGTATATGTATAACTGATTCACTTTGTTATAAAGCAGAAACTAACACACCATTGTAAAGCAATTATACCCCAATAAAGATGTTAAAAAAAAAAAAAAAAGGCAAACTCGTGGTACTGAGAAACTGGGAAAATAAAAGAAACATAATTCTATTACTCTAACAATTATTGTGATAAACTTTTTTTTATTCACATCTAATAAAAATTTATTTTATTTATTTTTGGCTGTGTTGGGTCTTCGTTGCTGCGCGCGCTTTCTCTAGTTGCGGCGAGCAGGGGCTACTCTCGTTGCAGGGCCCGTGCTTCTCATTGTGGTGGCTTCTCTTGCTGTGGAGCATGGGCTCTAGATGTGCGGGCTTCAGCAGTTGTGGTGCACGGGCTTAGTTGCTCCGCGGCATGTGGGATCTTCCCGCACCAGGGATCGAACCCATGTCCCCTGCATTGGCAGGTGGATTCTTAACCACTGCACCACCAGGGAAGTTGCTCTTCACATTTTCAAAACCTAAGTTTAATTGTAAGATACACACATCCTGCTTTTGCTGCAACACATCAAAACTTACCTATACTCTTCATAACTGTAATCGTTCCCATGTCTTGTCATTTATTTACCCACTATCTCACTGTTGCACATTTAAGTGGTTTTAAGATTTTACTCCATAAATTAACAATTTCTACACTTTCAGTCAGAGAGATTTAAACTGGAGTTTCAAAATACGCACTATTATAGTTTTCTATTTTGCTTAGTATCCCCCTTCCTCAAATTTTATAGGCAGCTTGCTACCTGGCACTAAGTTACTCTTAAAATGTGCCTGACCCATTCTTATTTGAAGAGTTCCATTGGATTGTAGGCTTAGAAAGACCTTGAGCATAATCTCCAAAAGAACAGAATGAAATAGGTATTATTCTTTATGGGCTGGAAGGAAATTAAGGCTCACAGGGATTAAGGAACTTGCCCAAGGTTACTTAGGGCGAGGATTTGAACCTAGGTTGCTCTGACTCTTAAACTGTACGTTCTTCCCATTCCCTGGGATGCCTTCTATGTGTGCAGGCACACACACACACATACTCTCTCATACACAGTTCACCTTTTGGCTCTACTTGTTCATAGGTAACTCTACAATTAAATACAATAATATTTTAGTGAATGAAGAATGAAGACTTCTTTGATTGCCTTTGGAGACATCTAGTGGGTATTCACCTGCTGGTTGCTATCCTGGAGGTAGTAGTATGATGCCACACCCATTCTTTATTTTAAAGGGCTTCATAAAACAAAAATGTCAGATATTTTTCCCCTTAAAATACCTTGAGGACATAAAACTAAGAACAAAAACTCAAAAATACAGCTCAGAGTTAAATTTTGACTAGTAACTTTGGCTTATTTGAAATGACCAATTAGCCACTTTCAAGAGACTGGTGGAAAATCACCAGTAATGGATTTCCATTTCAAAATTTCATAAAACCTCCAAAAATATATTTTAACACAGAAGCAATGTGTTTGCTTAAAATATATCATTTGTTTTCATTACTTTCTTCTTCATTCATATAACCAAAACATACTGCCCATGGTTCTCTGGCAGTATCACTACTACTGTAATTATTTGTCTTCTCCATTAGATTGTACGGTCTTCTAATGAGTGTATCACATGCTAATTCTATCCAGTACAATTCTTGCTGACAGCAATTAATGAAAAAGTGACTAGGTTTATAAAACCTAGTTTGGTAGAGCTAAATACCAAGAAAATACCAGGAAGTCTGAAGTATTTACTTTTTTTTTTTTTTAACTGAAGAAACATGGTACTTGTATAAGGCCATAGTAAATGCTCTTTAAATATATAACTTTTAAAAGTCAAGGTTTTAAGGCAAGTCATATGACAAGAATGACATTCTTTTCTATTGTGAATACAGTTAAATACTGGTTAATAGTTTAATTCAACTGATCTTCAGAAAATATTTCTAACAATATGAGGCTGACAAATTGCAATGGGTGGAGGGGGACACAAACTACTCTACTCTCACCTAAATTACAGGAGACGAGACCTTTTAGTAAACATAAGCACTCTTGGCCTCTTACCCACTCTTATACCCTCCCCAGGGAAGTGGAGAGAGTCACTTGGATGGGGGGGAATTTGGTCCCTTTTTCCTTCCCTCTTTCCCTGGACCAGCGAGTACGAGAAACAGTGACCTGGGTAAGTGGGTCTCTTCTGCAGATGCACTTTCCCTGGATGGGACGGTTCAGTCTTGACTGAGGTAGGAGGTGGATCTAGTGGGTAGGGAATAAGCAAGTCTAGTTTGATTCTCTCACTAAGTTGCTTCCCCTAGCCTTTAGTGTAATAAAGGGGCTAGTCTGAATCTCCATGTTCTCAATTGGTTCGTAACTCTAGTGGGGAAAAAAACGCTTTTTACTAGAGCCCCCAAAGGCCCCAAAAGAAATGCAATGAAATCCTCAGAAAGCTGTTATTTTTATGGAAAGGCCACTGATAAAAATAGACTAAAACACTACTTACATACTCAACACCAATGACTTCTTTTGTATATATAAGTGAATATTTCTTCAACATCACCCATGAAGTGCTTTACCCCATTTTGAGTACTCAAGGGTTATGGTGGTCTTTCATATTTTTTCTTTTAAAGTACTCAAATAAAATCATCTGCTTACTTTCTTATTTAACACAATTTTAAAAATTTGACCCACTTTTTACAAAATAAATTTATTTATTTTTGGCTGCACTGGGTCTTCGTTGTGGCACGTGGGCATCCTCTAGTTGCAGTGAGAGGGGGCTACTCTTCGTTGCGGTGCGAGGGCTTCTCACTGCAGTGGCTTCTCTTGTTGCAGAGCACAGGCTCTAGGTGTGTGGGCTTCAGTAGTTGTGGCACACAGGCTCAGCAGTTGTGGCTCACGGGCCCTAGAGCATGCGGGCTCAGTAATTGTGGCTTGTGGGCTCTAGAGTGCAGGCTCAGTAGTCGTGGCACACGGGCTTAGTTGCTCTGTGGCACGTGGGATCTTCCCAGACCAGGGCTCGACCCATGTCCCCTGCACTGGCAGGCAGATTCTTAACCACTGCGCCACCAGGGAAGTCCCTTGATCCACTTTCCATGTCAACTGTGAACAGTACTTTTTATGTTAACTTTAAAAAATCGACTTACTTTTATTAATAAAGAGTAACATTCTCCACTATTCAACATTCTAGGTCACATTCCTAAAAAATTTACGAATATAGAATCATTTCTTCATTAAGTATTTCAAGAAAGAGCAAGATCTAAAGTATTAACTTCACTTAAGCATTTAAATACTTAACTATTAAATATGGTCAAAACCCCCCACCTCTGTACATTCATCCCTCAGTATCCATGGGGAACTGGTCCTAGAAAGGACCTGATCTGGATACCAAAATCTGCAGATGCTCAAGTCCCATAGTCAGCCCTCTGTATTTGTGCTTCTGCATCTATAGATCCAACCAACTGCAGATTGTGTAGTACTATAATATTTATTGAAAAAAATCAGTATATAAGTGAACCTGTGCAGTTCAATTCTGTGTACAACTGACCCTTGAACAACGTGGGTTTGAACTGTGCAGGTCCACTTATATGGATTTTATTCAATAAATATATACTACAGTACTACAGTCTGTAGTTGGTTGAATCTGAGGATGCGGAACCTCAGATACAGAGGGCTGACTATGAAGTTATACTCAGAATTTCAACTGCAAGCAGGCTGGTAGCCCTAGCCCCTGTGTTGTTCAAGTGTCAACTGTACAGCCAAAGCCTTCTATGTTCCCATTATCTTTTCTACACATCCCATCCTAAGTATAATTTTTATAATTCCTAGGTACAGTTTTAGATTTTTAAATTTATGTATCTATAAAAATATATAGTCTTTTTTGTATATTTTACTTTTTTGTATGTTTTAAAATCTTGGGTCAACTGTAGAAATGAGTCACTAACCCTTCTCCTTTTGGACATTTAGCTTGCTTCCACTTTTTAAAATATTAAATACTGCTGTAAACATTCTTGTACTCTCGTTATGCTCTCATACGATGAGTATATGGGTATTTATCTAGAAGCAGGGTTGCTGTATTGTAGTACATAACAATTTTCAGCTTTACCAGAGCATACCAAATGACTTTCCAAGGTGGCTGT